AAAAAAAAAATTTGTATGGGAGACTAACTTGAAATGTAAACTTCATTTAATTACAACAATAAAAAATATATATATTATTTAGATGAAAATATAGATGCATATTTCTGCTGGAAGGGGTACCTAAATATGTGAGGTGTCAGAATCTAGATTCACAAAGATCCTGACTCTAGAATGAAAGCTTGAATATATGAAATTCAATAGTATAAAATATAAAACCTTGCTGAAAGTTCTCATAATCAATTACATAAGAAGATGGGGAGGTGCTGGCCTGATATACGTGAGTCATGTTGAACAAGTTCTGAGGATTTAAATTGATCATAAATATGTATTTGTTAGTAAGTGCTACAGTTGTAGACTATTAGATCGGGGCAGCTATTGCCTGCTATATAACTACTCTGCCCTGTGCAGACCATATCTGGAATATTGTGTTCAGTTTGGGCATTACATTTTAAGAAGACATTGATGAAACTGTGTGTTTTGGAAGAAGCTGAGTAGGATGGTAAAGTTCCTAAAACAATGTCATATAAGGAGTGGCTAAAAAAAATTATGGATAACGTTAGAGAAGAGAGGGCTTTGCAGAGATGATAGCTTTCTTCATGTTTTTGAAAGTGGTGCCATGTAAAAAAGGGATTTAATATATTCTATGTAGTTGCAGTGACTAGAAATAGGACCAGTGAGTAAAAGTTATAACAAAACAGATTTCTGCACAGTATGAGAAGAGATCTCTAACTATTAGAGTCACACTAAAATGGAAAATTTTCTTTGAGAGAGAGTTCTGTGATATTTGCAAGTGGTCAAGCAGAATTGGGAAGTCATCTGTCAGTTATCTTTAGAATGAATCCCTACGTTTGTTAGAGGTTAGGCAGGTAGGTTGCTAAAGCTCCTTTTTAAACCCTAGTATTCTAAGCAATATTATAGCCTAAACTAATAGATTTCCAGAATTGTGGGTTATTTCAGTTTGCAAAACTGAATAGATTCATATCGGATCTCTGGGATCATTCTATTTCCCTGGAGAGTGGAGGATCTGTAGGTAATAGAACAGTTATTTGTGGAGTTAGTGGCACTGCTGCAGTTGCTCCTCTTTTTTCTCCTCCTATGACTGTTCTTCTAGGCGCAGGTAGAGAAATGAAGACGATGAAAAGCTCTTAGCTTAGTAAGAGCTCACAGTGTAGTGTCAGAATTCTATAAACATGATCACAATACCTTGTGACAAGTATTAGTTAAATAAAAACAGTTAAATAAAAGAAAGTTTCTTAACTTCAGCGTTGACATTTTGGGCCACATAATTCTTTGTTTGGGGAGGGTTGCTCTGTGCATTATAGGATGTATAGTCGCATCCCTACCCGCTACCCATTAGATTCCAGTAGCATCTACCAAGTCCTAGCAACCAAAAATATCTCCAGACATTGCCAGATGTCCTCTGGGTGTCAAAATCGTGAGAACTTCTGCTCTAGTGGGACACAGGTGGAAATAGCTTACTATCCAAGGACATTAGGGGAAGAGTTTTTTGTTTTTTTTTTAGTTCTAATTCCTGGTGATTGGAATTCCTGCCAATTACAGCATTCTGTTCTCATTTTTTTTTTTTTCTGTCTCTCTTCCTTCTTGCATCTTAAACCTTATTAGCCATCTCACTGTGTGTATATTGAATAGGATGTCAAATCAGAGTACAGGTTTTTTAATCTACCTTACGTTGCTATTGTTTATATGCAGCTCCTGCTTTATGGTATTGCCTGTAAGCTTTGCTTTGAGGATTAATCCTCAGGGTTTTGTTAAACCCTCTGCTCCCCAAAGTTTAAAAAAAATACATGGTTTCTCATCTATCTATTCAGCCAAAAATCCTTCTTCTCATATGAAGTGAGCAGCATTATGAAAATTAGGAGAAAATGACTGGATCACTTTAGAATAAAAATTCTTTTAGGCTATACCAAAAGAAACTAAACCTGTTTTGTGCCACCAGGGCCCCTTTTAGGCTGTAGATAAATATAATTTGTGTTTGTCTTACTAGAATGTTTGATGATAATTAAATTACTATGAAGAGGTCAACCTTGGCTTGCTAATTTTGTTCTTACATGTATATTTATTATCTCCCAGGTAGTGTGAACTGCTGGGTGTGCCATGTTTCTAATCTATGCGTTTTCTTCCTTCAGACGAGCAAGAAACTCCCAAGATGGAAGCTTTGTCTTTCCCCAGGTATAATGTAGCTGAGATTTTAATTCATATTCGGAACAAGATCTTAACAGGAGCTGATGGCAAAAACCTCTCCAAGAATGATCTTTATCCAAACCCAAAGGTAAAATGTAGTTGTGCTTGCGTGTGACATGATGGTATTTGAGAACAAAGTAAGCTCCGAGGTATATCATGTGGCAAAAAAGCATGTACCCTACCCTTTGATATAGGAAAGTCACTTTTTTTGTTTTGTTTGGTTTTTTCATTTGCCCTTTTTTTTTTTTTTTTATTGTATTTCAGGTGAAGGCTTACAGAAGAAATATTTTCTCATGAAACAGAAGTACACATGTTGTTTTATGACATTGGTTAACAACCCGACAACATATCAACCCTCTAACTTCTCAACCTTTTTTTTTTT